AATACAGTAACTTGTTAATAAATTACTGATAAACCTTTAACTACGTCTGTTGAAACATAAAAAAAAAACGATGTTCATTTCGAATCAACTATGATGTATATGTCTAGTATTTAGTAGTCAGTTAAGCATTAGTTTTAGTCTGTCCAAAATGCCCGGCATGATACTAGTTTCTTTGCACTTAACAAATCAATATTGTATTTACACATTGTAAACTATGCATATAAAATCATTAATCCTTAATATCAGGATCGATGTTTCCAATCATATGACTAATGCTGGATTAAGAATGTTATATCAAACAGAACAGGGGGGGAGATACATTAACTATGTAATAGGGCTGATATAATGACTATGACAAGTATTAAAACAATATTGTACAACAGTTAGGACTGTACTGGATGTTACAAAAAACGTGATTCTAAAAGCATAGAGATCTCCAGTGAATACTAAAAGGCGGCCTTCTAGCATCCAGCCTGTTTACTGGGTTTCGTACAGTAGTTCAGTATCCTGGTCCAATTAACCATTAGAATTCAGTATGAATTTATTAGTGTTTCAGATTACAACTGGTAGGCTACAACTATAGAAATAAAATTTAATAAAATTTTTTAAGTATGTCCCCAAGAGGTATATATCAAAGTAAAATTAAATTAATAATAATCAAAATAATAATAATCACTTCTCTCGTTTACAGTATTATTGTGCTGAAAGCACATATCACATTTATACTTCTTAAGTACCGTCTGTATCGATATCATTTAAAAAATATTACAATATGTACAAGTATAAGTTTGTGTGTTATGTGTGTAAGTGCTCTAAGTTTTGTTTGCTATGTCCTCACGACTCGACAAGACTAAACAAGTGACTGACAAAGTCCTCAAATAACTAACTTCTGACCAACTGGCTTACAACAGTCTGCTTGAACCAATAAAAAGAATGCTAAGGCCCAATAGCAATATAAACAAGCAACTGTGACACCGAATCAGGAATCAAAGAGATAATATAACACAGCTAGTAGGGAACCATCAGCAGATCCTCCCCACAAAAGTCAACAAAACTCCCAAACTACTGAATCTAAGTCAGCATAAGAAAATCCCCGACTGTGACAATAACACAGATACAGTAACAAGTTTGGTCAGAAGCTACAGCTCAGAACCTGAGTTGTTTAAGTGTCTATGCTAACACACAACCTCATTACAACGTCGAAAATCACTAAGTCTATACAATGTTCTGTAACAAGTCTCATCAGAACCTAAATGAAAGCTAGAGACCGATCTTCCAACAAGGCCTATAAGGGAGATTTAGGCCTTCTTGTCCGGAATAACGTCCAACCACCCCAGCAGTCTAGACCAACTGAAGACTTCAGCGAGTGAGGACAACTCCCCCTCGATCACTGAAAAGCTCCGTGGACAGCTGCTACTCAGAAACAATGAAAAGCCGGCAGGAAACGAGCCACAAGCGATAATTACAGTAGTTAAGACAACAAGACTGAACTTTTGAGCACATAATCTATGTGGTTAGCATCCTACCTAAACAAAATTTAACTAAGTCAAATAATAATAAATAAAGCAATATATTCACGATTTAGCTATTATCGCATATATAAGCAATATAAAATTATATGAAAAGGTAATATACATTATAATATACATTATATAAATTGTAACCCATTCAAGGGTTGCAAACTTGACGAAATATATAACTTATAAAAGTCAGTACAAAATTATAGGTAGGCAAAGAACTATTATGAAAGATTACACAGATACTAAAATAATAATACAAAAATATAAAATAGATGTAGTAAAAATGGCATTAAACAAAATTTAAACAGTACGATTTGACTTATAGCACAAAACTTAAGCAAGTAGTAACACAAAAAACATAGGGTATGAGGTAGTTGGTACTAATTAGTAAATGATAGATCGACAAACCATACCTACCTTCTAGGGTATGGTATGTGGCCTGAGCCAGAGCTGCAGTCACAAGACTGGTCATTCCCATTAGCCCCCTTGGGGCGGGGATGGCAGACCAGAGAGGCCTAGCCTCTCCCTACGAGCCCCGTGAGGGCGGGGAACGTGGCTAGGCCTGGGGACAGTTGGTCCCAAAGATGAGGGGGTACTTGTGCCTCCTCCCATGGGAGACTTAGGTCTCAGACACTCCCTAGACAGGGAGCCAAGGCCGGGCCACCACTTGAAAAAGGCCCAGGCCGGGAGAATACCGGCGAATCAAGAAGAGAAGACGTAAATGATAGTACAAGGATTTGCATGACAATGCAGTAGGAACATTCACTATACATAGGTAATAACGTCAAGGCCAAGTTGGGTAATCAGTCTTGGTAAAATCTGCATCTCTAAGGAAGTTGAATAGATCATGTTCATTTGTGATAGTATATAAACAGCCAACATCGGTTTTTTCTCATTTGAATTTTCTCATCTCGAGTGAAGCACTGATGGATTTTGTCACTTTTTCCCGCTTAAGTTTTCTCAGCCTGAACAAAATGCTCTGACGTTTTCTCGTCAGGCACTCATTGTGTACTTTCATTTTTTTAATCTAATTGATGATTTAATTAGATCCTTTTTCATGTATATGAATGAAATCTGATAATTAACAACATTGTTACTACCATGTTTTCCCTATACCATGCTTCTTTTTTTTAATTTCCTTAGCTATACATTAACATTCAAATGGTCTTTTATGAAATCCCAATACCAATAAAGTTATCTTTGCATAAGATTGGTTTATCTCACTGGTAAGTGAGAGTTAAGGGCATCATGTTTTCCCACCATGAGCAGGCCAAAAGCAGCATTGGTTTGAGTCCTTGGCTATTTTTTTAAATTTAATATCTTTATTATGCACCCCAATACCCATTCTGTGGCGGCAGTCAAAAGATTACAGAGGTACAAAGGGTTTTAGGGACTGGCCACAAAGTTTTTTGATACTGAGCAATACAAAGTAATGAACTCACAATTTACAATGGTAAGAACTCCAGGTAGGTCTGGTCACAAACTGACAAGTTACAAAGGTATTTACAGATTACAGAGTACGTAATGGGTCCCAGGGACCGGGCTCCAAAGTTTTGATAGCTACACTAGGTACAAAAAGGTAATTTGTTTTTGCAGTGGTTTTTTATTGAGAAAATATATATAAAATTTTATATATATAAATATATATATATATATATATAATATATTAATATATATTATATATAATATATATATATAATATATATGCTGAACTTACATAAGAGGCTGAATGATAGTGTTTCCTAAAAGGTTATTGTCACGTTTCTTGCAGGCGGGATTCAATATAAAGGCTTCAGAGGCTTCTTACTTTATTTGTAAAAGGGCGTGGGGTACACAGGCAGTGTGTATGTGCCCATGGCCTCAAGGGCCATGCCAGCGAGGGAGAGAGGAGTAGGCATTGCTGACTGATGAAGGCTGCTGAAAGAGTGAGAGAGAGGCAGGTGTTGGGGAGGCCCGGCATGTCCACAAAGAGGCCTGGCCTCTGGTGGAAAAATATGGGAATTAGGCATGTAGGCTCACTAGATACATATCGCTCGGGCCCCTACCACATGGTCGACCCGACCATGACAGGGGGTAAAGAAACTTCAGTCTCTCTCTCACAGGAACACGGCACAGAACACAAAATAAAAACATGTATATACATGTGTGGGCATGGGAAAAAAAAACTTCCTACAGGGAGGGAAGAAAACAAAAGGGATGTGCTAAACAAAACATCAGGGTCCAGGGCAGTGATCCTCGGAGGCCTCACTGCACGTCTTCCTGCTCCTGGACAGATACTACAAAACAGGAGACATCACTGCGGCTGAACTGTGACGTAACAGGTTACCGTCTTCTGTGGAGCAGTGAAAGTCATCGTAGTAGTCACTGCAGGGTTCACTCATCCAGGGGCAGGGTCCAGGGCAAGGGTTTGGGGGTGGGAGTGTCAGTGTTAAGTGGTGTAGTGTCAAATGTTAATAGTGGTAGTGTCAGTGTTAAGTGGTGGTAGTGTCAGTGTTAAGTGGTGGTAGTGTCAGTGTTGAGTGATGGTAGTGTCAGTGTTAAGTGGTGGTAGTGTCAGTGTTAAGTGGTGGTAGTGTCAATGTTGAGTGGTGGTAGTGTCAGTGTTAAGTGGTGGTAGTGTCAATGTTTATGGTGGTAGTGTCAGTGTTAATGGTGGGAGTGTCAGTGTTAAGTGGTTGGGAGTGTCAGTGTTAAGTGGTGGTAGTGTCAGTGTTAAGTGTGGTAGTGTCAATGTTGAGTGGTGGTAGTGTCAGTGTTAGTGGGGGTATGTCATGTTAGTGTGGGAGTGTCAGTGTTAAGTGGTGGAGTCAGAGTTGAGTGGTGGTATGTCAGTGTTGAAATGATGGTAGTGTCAGTGTTAGTGATGGTAGTGTCAGTGTTGATGATGGTAGTGTCAGTGTTGAGTGGTGGTATGTCAGTGTTGAGTGATGGTAGTGTCAGTGTTGAGTGTGGTAGTGTCAGTGTTGAGTGATGGGAGTGTCAGTGTTGAGTGATGGGTAGTGTCAGTGTTAAATGATGGTAGTGTCAGTGTTGAGTGGTGGGAGTGGGCAGTGTTGAGTGATGGTAGTGTCAGTGTTGAGTGATGGTAGTTTTCAGTGTTGAGTGTGGTAGTGTCAGTGTTGAGTGAGGTAGTGTCAGTGTTGAGTGATGGTAGTGTCAATGTTGAGTGGTGGGAGTGTCATGTTTGAGTGATGGTAGGTCAGTGTTGAGTGATGGTAGTGTCAGTGTTGAGTGATGGTAGTGTCAAGGGTTTTGTTTTAATTTGGGGGTAGTGTCAGTTGAGTGATGTAGTGTCAGTGGTTAAGTGGTGGTAGTGGGCAGTGTTGAGTGATGGGAGTGTCAGTGTTAAGTGGTGGGAGTGTCAGTGTTAAGTGGTGGTAGTGTCAGTGTTAAGTGGTGGGGGGGGGGGTGGTGTTAGGGGGTAGGGCAGTGTTGAGTGATGGTAGTGTCAGTGTTAAGGGTGGTAGTGTCAGGTTAAGTGGTGGTAGTGTCAGTGTTAGTGGTGGTAGTGTCAGTGTTAAGTGGTGGTAGTGTCAGTGTTAAGTGGTGGTAGTGTCAGTGTTAAGTGGTGGTAGTGTCAGTGTTAAGTGGTGGTAGTGTCAGTGTTAAGTGGGGGTATTTTCATTTTTAAGTGGTGGTAGTGTCAGTGTTAAGTGGTGGTAGTGTCATTGTTAAGTGGTGGTATGTCAGTGTTAAGTGGTGGGAGTGTCAGTGTTAAGTGGTGGTAGTGTCAGTGTTAAATGGTGGTAGTGTCAGTGTTAAGTGGGGGTAGTGTCATGTTTAGTGGTGGTAGTGTCAGTTGTTAAGTGGTGGTATTGGGCATTTTTAAGTGGGGGGTAGTGTCAGTGTTAAGTGGTGGTAGTGTCAGTGTTAATGGTGGTAGTGTCAGTGTTAAGTGGTGGTATTGTCAGTGTAAATTGGTGGTAGTGTCAGTGTTAAGTGGTGGTAGTGTCAGTGTTAAGTGGGGGTAGTGTCAGTGTAAGTGGTGGTAGTGTCAGTGTTAAGTGGTGGTAGGTCAGTGTTAAGTGGTGGTTGTGTCAGTAAAGTGGTGGTAGTGTCAGTGTTAAGTGGTGGTAGTGTCAGTGTTAAGTGGTGGTAGTGTCAGTGTTAAGTGGTGGTATTGTCATTGTTAAGTGGTGGTAGTGTCAGTGTTAAGTGGTGGTAGTGTCAGTGTTAAATTTGGGGGTAGTGTCAGTGTTAAATGGTGGGAGTGTCAGTGTTAAGTGGTGGTAGTGTCAGTGTTAAGTGGTGGTAAATTGTCAGTGTTAAGTGGAGGTATTGTCATTGTTAAGTGGGGGTATTTTCATTGTTAAGTGGTGGGAGTGTCAGTGTTAAGTGGTGGTAGTGTCATTGTTAAGTGGTGGTATTTTCAGTGTTAAGTGGGGGTAGTGTCAGATGTTAAGTGGTGGGAGTGTCAGGTTAAGTGGTGGTATTGTCATTGTTAAGTGGTGGTATTGTCATTTTTAGTGGTGGTAGTGTCAGTGTTAAGTGGTGGTAGTGTCAGTGTTAATGGTGGTATTTCAATGTTAAGTTTTGGTATTTTCATTGTTAAGTGGTGGTAGTGTCATGTTAGTGGGGGAAGTGTCAGTGTTAAGTGGTGGTAGTGTCAGTGTTAAGTGGAGGAGTGTCAGTGTTAAGTGGTGGTAATGTCAGTGTTAAGTGGTGGTAGTGTCAGTGTTAAGTGGTGGTATGTCAGGTTAAATGGTGGTAGTGTCATGTTAAGTGGTTGTAGTGTCAGTGTTAAGTGGTGGTAGTGTCATGTGTTAAGTGGTGGTAGTGTCAGTGTTAAATTTTGGTAGTGTCAGTGTTAAGTGTTGGTAGTGTCAGTGTTAAGTGGTGGTAGTGTCATGTTAAGTGGGGTATTGTCATTGTTAAGTGGGGGAATGTCATTGTTAATGGTGGTAGTGTCATGTTAAGTGGTGGTAGTGTCAGGTGTTAATGGTGGTAGTGGGCAGTGTTAAGTGGTGGTAGTTTCAGTTGTAATGGTGGGTAGTGTCAGTGTTAGTGGTGGTAGTGTCAGTGTTAAGTGTGTGGTATTGTCAGTGTTAAGTGGGGTATTGTCATTGTTAAGTGGGGGTAGTGTCAGTGTTTATGGTGTAGTGTCAGAGTTGAGTGGGTGGTAGTGTCAGAGTTGAGGGGTGGTAGTGTCAGAGTTTAGTGGTGTAGTGTCAGATTAAGTGATGATATGTCGAGTTGAGTGGTGGTAGTGTCAGAGTTGAGTGGTGGTAGTGTCAGTATTAAGTGATGATAGTGTCAGAGTTGAGTGGTGGTAGTGTCAGAGTTGATGGTGGTAGTGTCAGAGTTGAAAATGGGTGGTAGTGTCAGAGTTGAGTGGGGGTAGTGTCAAGTTGAGTGGTTGTAGTGTCAGAGTTGAGTGGTGGTAGTGTCAGGTTGATGGTGGGGATGTCAGAGTTGAGTGGTGGTATGTCAGGGGTTGGGGTGGTGGTAGTGTCAGAGTTGAGTGGTGGTAGTGTCAGAGTTGAGTGGTGGTAGTGTCAGAGTTGAGTTTTGGGGGTAGTGTCAGAGTTAGTGTGGTAATTTTTTTAGAGTTGAGTGGTGTTTTTGTGTCAGAGTTGAGTGGTGTAGTGTCAGAGTTGAGTGGTGGTAGTGTCAGAGTTGAGGGGGTTGGTTAGGGGTGTCAGTGTTGAGTGGTGGTAGTGACAGTGTTGGTAGTGATAGTGGTGGTAGTTTTCAGTGTTGAGTGGTGGTAGTGTCAGCGATGTAAGGGTAGGGGTCAGTTTTCAGTGGTGGAAATTTCAGTCAGTGGGTGGGTTTTTCAGTGTTCATTGGTAGTATGTCAGAGTTGAGTGGTGGTAGTGTAAGTGTTGAGTTGTGGTATGTCAGTGGTGTAGTGGCAGTATTGAGTTGTGGTTTTAGGGGTTGGTCAGTGTTGAATGGTATAGTGGGCAGTGATGGTTAGAGGTGGTAGTTGTCAGTTTCCAAAGGGGGTATTTCAGTCAGTGGTGTAGTGTCAGTGTCAGTGGTGGTATGTCAGTGTTTGAAATGGTAGTAGTGTCAGTGATGAGTGTTTGGTAATGGTCAGTGGTGATTGTGATATAGGAGGGGGGTCAGCGATGAATGGTGGTAGTGCAGTGAAGTAAAGGTGGCAGTGTTTAGTTATTGTAAAAGGTGGTAAATGTCATCAGTGTGGTAGTTTCAAAATACTGAGTGGTAGAGTTCATTGTTAAGTGGTGTAGTGTCATTGTTGAGTGTCGGTAGTGTCAGTGTAATTGGTTTTAACGTCAGTGTTGAGGTTCATTGGGGGAAGTGTCCAGTGGTGGAATGTCAGTGTTTAAGTTTGTATAGTGTCATATAATAGTTGTAATGGTGGTAGTGTCCCGTGGTGGGAGTGGTGATAATTGTCAGTGTTCATTGGTGGCAGTGGTGGCTAGTGTCAGTGTGAAGTTGTCGCAAAGGTCATGTTTATTTTGGGTAAGTCAATGTTAAGTGGCGGTAGTTTCAGTGTTGGGGGGTGATAGTGGTGGTAGTTGTGGTATGTCAGTGTGAGTGTCAATGTTGAGTGCTCGCAGTGGGGTACGTTAAGTGTTAAAGTGGTGGCCAGTTGTGGTAGTGTTAGTGGGGGTATGTTAGTGGGTAATGGGCAGGGGGGAGTCAGTGTTGAGTGGGGGTATTATGGTAGTGTCAGTGTTGAATATGGTATAATGGTAGTTTCTCTTTTAGTGGTGGGGTACAGTTTTAGTGGTTGTATTTCAGAAGTAATCATCATCATAGCTGAGAGAGACCCGTACTTAGACCACCGTCACGTGGTCTGAAGTTGCGCCAGTACAACTCCCTGTCGTTTGGCTCAATTTGCGATGGTGAGGTGGCAGTGGCCCGGGCACATTTGTTGTACCACCAGCCCCACCACGGTGCACAGCACAGTTCCCTGTGGAGTGTAAGATCTCAGATAATTTTATTATAATTTTTTTTTTAATTTAAAGAAAAAATATATAGATTAATATAAAAATTTAATTAAATAAAATCGAATTAGTAATAATAATAATAATAATAAAAACATTAATACACATACCAGACAGTGATAAGTAAAAGTTACTTTGAAATTAAACACTTCAACCATTACCACGTGATGAGTCATTGTCATTGTCCAACGTGGTGAAAAACCTGGCTTTTATGTCATTTGTAAGTGTCACCAAGTGGTTGGTGCTGGGGGTTAGCCTTCCACTGTGACCTGTACATGTGGAGAGATAATGTTGATTATCACAAACATCTGTACATTGTGGTGACAACGCTAGCTGAGGGAGAGATAATTGTTGGTTATCACGGGCAGTCAGTGTGAAGTGGTGCAGACTGTTAGTGTGGAGGGAGAGTAATTGGTTGTTAACTCAATTACTGAATGTGGTGACAAGGGGCTATTTAGTGTTGGGGATGAAAATTTGTTGATTATGTCACCTGTCAGGGTGTGTCAATGCTGAGCTGAGGGGGGAGGTCAATGTTGATTATCTCCAGGTACGTAAGTGACAGTGGTGACAATTGTTAGTGAGGGAGGTAAGTTTGTTGATATTCATGTACCACTGATGGTGGTGACAACTGCTAGCGTCAGTGGAGAGGATAATGTGTTGTTATCTCTTGCACTTTTGAACATGGTGGTGACAACTGCTTCTAGCTGAGGGAAAAGATAAATTGTTCAAGTTCGCCAGACAACTCACTGGTGGTGACAATTTTGCTGGGCTGAGGGAGTGAGGACATTGTTGTTCCACCAGCCTCAACATGTGTGACAACGCCCCTGCTGAGGGAAAAGAATTAATTATTATTATCATCAAATAAAAAAATGTGGTAACTCTATGATAAAAATATAATTGTTAAATTATCACCAATACTAAATAATGATAACAACTTATACTGAGGGAGATGATAATTGTTTGATTAAAACACTTCACCACTGTACAACGTCTGGATGAGATAATTGTCATTGTCCCAACACGAACTGTGTGAAAACCTGTTTTAGTTTTTGAGTGAGAACAATTGTTGATTATACCTCCCAAAAACTGTGGTGACATTTGTAGTGGGAGAGATAATTGTTCATTATCACCAACACTGAACATGTGGTGACAACTGCTAGCTGAGGGAGAGATAATTGTTCATTATCACCAACACTGAACATGTGGTGGCAACTGCTAGCTGAGGGAGAGATAATTGTTCATTATCACCAACACTGAACATGTGGTGACAACTGCTACCTGAGGCAGAGATAATTGTTGCATTATCACCAACACTGAACATGTGGTGACAACTGCTAGCTGAGGGAGAGATAATTGTTGATTATCACCAACACTGAACATGTGGTGGCAACTGCTAGCTGAGGGAGAGATAATTGTTCATTATCACCAACACTGAACATGTGGTGACAACTGCTAGCTGAGGGAGAGATAATTGTTGATTATCACCAACACTGAACATGTGGTGACAACTGCTAGCTGAGGGAGAGATAATTGTTGATTATCACCAACACTGAACATGTGGTGACAACTGCTAGCTGAGGGAGAGATAATTGTTCATTATCACCAACACTGAACATGAGGTGATAACTGCTAGCTGAGGCAGAGATAATTGTTCATTATCACCAACACTGAACATGTGGTGACAACTGCTAGCTGAGGGAGAGATAATTGTTGATTATACTGGATCTAGAGGTATATCAAACCCTTCAATGAGTATCAGCTGGTGATCACCTCATATGTTGTGTGAGCATTTTTCCAGGCCAGAGGTTTCAACCAAACCATCAAGACCATGACGAGAACTCATTGTCTACATTTTTCTACAGATTGTGCTGAGATCTTAGTGCTGTTGCTTCTCTTCACTATATGAGAAAATTTACAGGAGTCTATTAGCTACAGCTTCCTTGAAATGTTATTCATCCATAAATAACAAAAAGGCACAATATTATTCATCCATATAGTACTAACACCTTCTAGTGCTGCTTAGGTTAAGCTTAAGAGCGCAGCTCAGAACGAATTTAATGTTATGTTCCAACTCGTTAGTCAACTAGCCTTAGAAAATCTTAAAAAAAAAAACATGAAAAGATAGATAGATATAATCAATCAAAGTAGGTTCATTCAGAGCAGGAGATAAAGTTCAGGAACTGGTACCTGATCATACCTTAAATTCTCATTATTTAGGACCTGTGTAAGTGGAGGAGGAAAACGTCCGTCCACATTTATGTGGTTGTTTCTCTGGATGACTTTCCAGGTTGATGAGCCAGACGTGTAACAAGACATCAGTGGAATACATATATGGCAGTTTATTTTACAGTTATTACATCATCAATGATCATTGATGTCTGGACTATCTAAGCTGCACAACACTGATATAACAACACTGCTTCAAAACTACACATATTTTCAGATTCCCTTATAATATGTAATGTTGTCTTTTCAAGATGAGTATATTGGTAACGCTAAACACATTAAATTATCTTTTTATATGACTCGTCCAGAGAAACTCCAGCTACAACCAGATCAATTTTCTAAGTAAAAAACTGTTTAGGAGGGGGGCGGGGGATTCCACAACTCCATGAACATTGTCTTGTATATAGAGAAGAAGTTGGAGGACAGAGTGTTGATGTGTGCAGATTATAGGAAGGTTAACAACCTCACACAGCCAAACACCTTCCCACTTCTACACATGGATAGTAATGTGGATATTACTGGATGAACTAAGTGTCATCAAACTCGACTTGCTTAAGGGATATTATCAGGTCCCATTAAGTGATCAGGTGAAGAGGAATAAACCTTTATAGACCCAGAGAGACAGTATTATTATAAACCCAGAGAGTCAGTATTATTATTATAAACCCAGAGAGTCAGTATTATTATACACCCAGAGAGTCAGTATTATTATAAACCCAGAGAGTCAGTATTATTATAGACCCAGAGAGTCAGTATTATTATAAACCCAGAGAGTCAGTATTATTATAAACCCAGAGAGTCAGTATTATTATAGACCCAGAGAGTCAGTATTATTATACACCCAGAGAGTCAGTATTATTATAAACCCAGAGAGTCAGTATTATTATATACCCAGAGAGTCAGTATTATTATACACCCAGAGAGTCAGTATTATTATAAACCCAGAGAGTCAGTATTATTATAAACCCAGAGAGTCAGTATTATTATAAACCCAGAGAGTCAGTATTATTATACACCCAGAGAGCCAGTATTATTATAAACCCAGAGAGTCAGTATTATTATAAACCCAGAGAGTCAGTATTATTATAAACCCAGAGAGTCAGTATTATTATAAACCCAGAGAGTCAGTATTATTATACACCCAGAGAGTCAGTATTATTATACACCCAGAGAGTCAGTATTATTATAAACCCAGAGAGTCAGTATTATTATAAACCCAGAGAGTCAGTATTATTATAAACCCAGAGAGTCAGTATTATTATAAACCCAGAGAGTCAGTATTATTATACACCCAGAGAGTCAGTATTATTATACACCCAGAGTCAGTATTATTATACACCCAGAGTGTCAGTATTATTATACACCCAGAGAGTCAGTATTATTATAGACCCAGAGAGTCAGTATTATTATAAACCCAGAGAGTCAGTATTATTATAAACCCAGAGAGTCAGTATTATTATACACCCAGAGAGTCAGTATTATTATACACCCAGAGAGTCAGTATTATTATAAACCCAGAGAGTCAGTATTATTATACACCCAGAGAGTCAGCATTATTATACACCCAGAGAGTCAGTATTATTATAAACCCAGAGAGTCAGTATTATTATCAAGTGACTTTGACTTGCACAAATTATCTGCTATATTTAAAAAGTTGATCTGTTTAGCTATTAATGAGTTAGAAGTAAGACAAACTTAACTAGATGACTTAGATATTTCTCACACCTGGAAGTGCTTATCCAATGATTAAGAAAACTTTTCAAGATATTTAAAATATATAATTAACAGTGAATCTTAGTATATCAACTCAGCATATCAGTATATCTCTATTTTCTATTGTTTTGGAAAGTTTTTAACTGAGAGACCCAATAACTGATATAATTATTCTTATAGGAACAAATCTTATAAATTATAGGTAAGGTTGTTATAGACTAACATTAATTACCTGATAGCTACATCACTTACACTAACATGCAGGAGAAGAATATAACAAAATAAGCAACAGAGTTAACACATACTTGTTAGCTTCATTGGCCACCTTAAACGTCTCCCACTCTGCAGAATGTTGTTCTCCTTGCAGGTTGGTAGCGATCACCTTGAGTCGGTAACGACGACCTCCGCTAGTCAGGGCCTGAAGGTTGTCATTACCTGCAAGTGATCACAACGCTCTGACATTCACAATCTTCACTGATAATGTAACATTATCAACATGTACATCATATGTACTTCATAATTTATACTGAGAGCTACAGTAACTACAACACAACACATGGCACTACATGAAATGCAACATAGAGTTTCATGAACTCCAACACGTCAGAATGAACTACAAGATAACAGGTCTTACCCAGCCAATATTCTCCACGTGGGTCACCGAAGCCAGTCTTGTAGTCTTGCCAGGGCCTGTTGAAAATCTCTTGTGGAGTCTGGCGCTGGCGGGCGAGGAACACCGTCCACATGTGTTCTTCGTCTTTAATACACAACACACTCACACCTGCAGAACTGATAAACACTTTTGTTATAGCTACACTCTATATGTGTTTGTTTTTAAGACACTGACATTGTGCATCTAGATATGAGGTATGACTCACCATACAAGGACAGTTGATGCAGTGTTGTGTTTGATACTGTCACCTACACTGTCAAGTAACATCCAGGTATGAAGTATGAGGTCAAGAAGGGAACATGGACAGGGAACATGCTGGACAGCATGGAACGAAGTTGACGATCAAGAATACGAATGGAAAGGTAGAAACGATGAAGAAGAGACTGCTGTGGAAACTGTTGTGGAAACATCTAATGCATTCTCTGTGCTACCCGACGAATGTGAGTCGACTACTGGAAACGTCACGACGAACTACACCGAGAAAGGTAAGAATATTGTTGTTGTTGGGGATAACCAAGTTAGGTACATGGATAGGGCGTTCTGCTTGAAGGACAGGAGTAGGAGACATAGGGTTTGCTTTCCTGGGGCTGGGATGGAGGACATTGTTAGCCGGCTTGACAACATCATGAATGTTAATGGGATCAATCCTATTATTTGCCTCAGTGCTGGAGGCAATGATGTAGGCAAGCGTAGAAGTGAGGATTTAGTTAGAAAGTTCAAGACAGCTAGACATAATTAGGAAGAAGGGGGGGCGCCCTGTTATATGTGGCATTTTGCCAAGAAGAGGTGTTGGTAATGAATGGTTGTCGAGAGCAATTGGTATTAATTGTTGGCTGGATAAACACTGTAAGGATATTGCAGTACCATTCATTGACAACTGGGACAACTTCTATGGCCGAAATGACATGTATGCCAGGGATGGGGTTCACTTATCCAGGGCAGGTGTGGGTTTTCTTGCTAGCTCAGTTGAGGGGGTTGTTAGGACTTTAAACTAGGATTAGTTAGAGGTATGGGTTTAGAAATGATTAATAATGAATATGGATATATGGACTTATGCTCTGATATTAAGAATATTAATAGTAACTGTCATGGAGTAACTCTGGGTAATGATAATTTCAGAAATTGTGTAAAAACAAAGATGCATGGGAAAAATGTGCAGAAGAAAAAACATATGACGGTATTTTATGCTAACAGTCGAAGTGCAAGAAATAAAATTAATGAACTACGTTTGGTAGCATGTGCTGGGAACTTTGATATCATTGCATTAACTGAAACGTGGTATGATTTAAAGAGTCGGGATATGATTGCTGAGTGTAATATTCAAGGGTTTAAGTTGTTCCATGTGGACAGATGTAATGGGAAGGGGGGAGGAGTTGCATTATATGTTCGAGAAAATATTAATTGTTGCATAAAAACAGGTATAAAAATAAATGGAACAGTAACAGAATCTGTTTGGGTAGAGTTCGAGGAGGGTCAAAAAAAAACTAATTCTAGGTGCAATCTACCGACCTCCAGGCTTGGATCACGATAGAGGGAGACTTCTTTGGGACGAAATTGTTAGGGCTTCTGGACACAATAACATAGTCATAGTAGGGGACTTTAACTTTAGTCAAATTGACTGGAATTCTTTGACAGGTAATCTAGAGTCCAGTGACTTTATGGAAACAGTTCAGGACTGTTTTCTAAAGCAGTGTGTAACAGAGCCAACCAGGGGAAATAATTTTCTAGACCTAGTCTTGTCAAATAAGGAAACACTCGTAAATAATCTGGAGATCACTGAAGAGCTTGGCGCAAGTGATCACAGATCCATCACTTTCAGCATTAACTGGGAATGCAAGAATAATGACAATTCGGTAAAAATCCAAGATTTTCGTTCTGCCGATTATAATGGACTTAGGGAACACCTGTCAAATCTCGATTGGGATTATCTAGCTAATGATTTTATTGATGATCATACTTATGATTATGAAGGGATCTGCATTTATGATTTTTTCTTAATAATGTACACCGTGCCCAGAGTATATACATTTCCCAGAGAGAAATTAGGTCTAATAATAACGATACCAAATGGGTTAACAGGAGGCTAAAGCATCTATTAGGGGAGAAAAGGGGAATTTATAAGCGCATCAGAAGAGGAGAGGTTAACCTTACTGACCAATATGTTCAGCTTAAAAGAGAAGTAAAATAGGGGATTAGAAAGGCTAAACGTGACTATGAAATTAGAGTTGCTAATGAATCAAAGACTAATCCAAAGGGGTTCTTTCAAGTGTATAGGACGAAGGTGAAGGAAAAAGTAGGACCTCTGAAAACTGGGAATGGACAGCTGACAGACAACGAACTGGAAATGTGTTCTTATCTAATAACTATTTTTTTGTCAGTTTTTACACAGGAAAATGTAAATGAGATTCCAGTAATTAACAATTATTTAGTTCCTGATGAATTTAAATTAACTAATATTACTGTCACGAGGGACATGGTTTTTAAACAGATAGACAAACTGAAGCAAAATAAGTCCCCGGGACCCGATGAGCTGTTTTCCAGGGTACTTAAGGAATGCAAGATGGAGCTTAGTCAGCCATTAACGAGTGTGTTTAATGCGTCCATCCTTACCGGTGTTGTGCCAGAGTTGTGGAAGATGGCTAATGTGGTTCCTATATTCAAATCAGGGGATAAGCCCACTCCTTCAAATTACCGTCCAATAAGCCTGACATCTATAGTGGGCAAGTTATTAGAATCAATTATAGCTGACATTATTAGAAGTCACCTTGAAGAGCATAACTTGATAAATGAATCTCAGCATGGATTGACGAGAGGTCGTTCCTGCCTGACAAACTTACTGACGTTCTTCAGTAGAACATTTGAGGCAGTTGGCAGTGATAAAGAATAAGAACATATAAGAACATAAGAAAGGAGGAACACTGCAGGAGGCCTGTTGGCCCATACTAGGCAGGTCCTTTACAATTCATCCCACTAACAAAACATTTGCCCAACCCAATTTTCAATGCCACCCAAGAAATAAGCTCTGATGTGAAAGTCCCACTCAAATCTAACCCCTCCCATTCATGTACTTATCCAACCTAAATTTGAAACTACCCAAAGTCCCAGCCTCAATAACCCAACTAGGTAGACTGTTCCACTCATCAACTACCCTATTTCCAAACCAATACTTTCCTATGTCCTTTCTAAATCTAAACTTATCTAATTTAAATCCATTACTGCGGGCTCTCTCTTGGAGAGATCCTCAAGACCTTGTTAATATCCCCTTTATTAACACCTATCTTCCACTTATACACATCGATCAGGTCTCCTCTCATTCTTCGTCTAACAAGTGAATGTAACTTAAGAGTCTTCAATCTTTCTTCATAAGGAAGATTTCTAATGCTATGTATTAATTTAGTCATCCTACGCTGAATGTTTTCTAACGAATTTATGTCCATTCTGTAATATGGAGACCAGAACTGAGCTGCATAATCTAGGTGAGGCCTTACTAATGATGTATAAAGCTGCAGTATGACCTCTGGACTTCTGTTGCTTACACTTCTTGATATAAATCCCAGTAATCTATTTGCCTTATTACGTACGCTTAGGCATTACTGTCTTGGTTTAAGGTTGCTGTTCACCATAACCCCCAAGTCCTTTTCGCAATCTGTATGGCTAAGTTCTACATCATTTAACTTATAAGTATTAGGGTTATGGGCACTCCCAAGCTTCAGAACCTTGCATTTATCTACATTGAACTGCATCTGCCACTTTTCTGACCAAGAATAGAGTTTGCTTAAATCCTCCTGAAGTTCCATAACATCTACGTTTGAATCAATTATCCTACCTATCTTTGTGTCACCGGCGAATTTGCTCATATCACTAGTAATTCCCTCATCAAGATCATTGATATATATTATAAACAACAACGGGCCCAAGACTGATCCCTGTGAACGCCACTTGTTACAGATCCCCACTCGGATTTAACCCCATTTATGGACACTCTCTGCTTCCTGTCAGTGAGCCATGACTCGATCCACGAGAGCACTTTTCCCCCAATGCCATGAGCTGCCACTTTCTTTAACAGTCTATGGTGCGGAACTCTATCAAAAGCCTTACTAAAATCTAAGTAAAAAATATCAAATTCTTTATCGTGGTCAACAGCCTCAAAAGCTTTACTGAAGAAAGTTAATAAATTAGTTAGACAAGACCGGCCTCTTGTGAATCCATGCTGAGTATCATTAATCAAGCTATGCTTATCGAGATGGCCTCTTATAATCTCAGCTATAATTGACTCTAGTAATTTGCCTACAATTGAGGTCAGGCTTATTGGGCGGTAATTTGACGGTAACGACTTGTCCCCTGTTTTAAAATTAGGAATTACATTAGCCATCTTCCACATATCAGACACTACACCTGTTTGAAGAGATAAATTAAAAATATTAGTTAATGGTTCACAGAGTTCCATTTTGCATTCCTTAAGAACCCTTGAAAAAACCTCATCAGGACCCGGTGACTGTGATGTTACATAATTTATCTTCTTCTAGCCCACTATAAAAATTAATTACTGGAATATTGTTAGTGTCTTCCTGTTGTAAAAACTGAGAGAAAATAATTATTTAAAATCGAGCACATTTCATTCTCTTTGTCAGTAAGGTGCCAATAGTTATTTTTAAGGGGACCTATCTTATCTCTAACTTTTGTTCTATAGACCTGGAAAAAACTTTTTGGGTTAGTTTTAGAATCCCTAGCAACTTTAATTTGATAGTCCCTTTTAGCTTTTCTTATCCCCTTTTTAATGTCCCTCTTAATGTCAATATACTGATTCATAAGATGACCCTCACCTCTTTTGATACGCCTATAAATTCCTTTCTTATGCCCTAGTAGATATTTGAGCCTATTATTCATCCATTTTCGGTCATTTCTATTTGATCTAATTTCTTTATATGGGATAAACGTTCTTTGAGCAGCATGTATAGTGTTCAGAAAACTGTCATATTGATAGCTCTCTTCGTTACCCCAGTCAACAGATGATAAGTGTTCTCTAAGCCCATCGTAATCTGCTAAGGCGAAAATCTGGGACTGTTACTGAGTTATCGCTACTATCGTACTTCCATTCAATGCTAAATGTAATTGA